CGCATCAAACCCGTTGATGGCTGAGGATTTGCCAAAAATCCTATAAATATGCGAGTCATTGACGCATCAGATTTACTTTCAAATCCTTCCACGTCTTGGATGGTGCCGTGCCCATTGCCAAAAATCCTATAAATATGCGAGTCATTGACGCATCAACTTTATGAGTTGGTCTCGTGACTCGAGCATCCAACGACCTTGGGATAAGATCCATGCTCCAATTCCTTAAGAGCTTAAACCGTGTGTACTCCAGCAGACGTACGAGTATAAACTGTGTCAAATGCCGAACAGTGCATCATAATGAAGCCTGGACGCCGGACAACGCGTCGCAATGAAGCTCAAACGCCAGACAACGCGTTATAGATGAAGATTCAACGCAGTCAATCGATGATAAGTTCTGTGTTGAAGCAGCAAACTCGAGCCAAAAAGTCAAGAAATCAGGAATCGACTTCAAGTTCAAATTCCAACAACGGTCAGACAATAAATGCAGCACCGGAACCCCTACAGGCATTCTACAAAGCACTGAATAGCCTGAAGGAATTGAAGGAATCCAGAACAGAAGTCATTCCAGAGTCCCGTTACACCGACTGAAGGTTGGGACAATCACATCCAAAGTATTCCAGACTCTTCTATAAAAGAATGAGACTGAAATACTTTGGAGGGGGTATCTGTAGGCGTATAAAATTGCCTATAGGTCCCTTAGCACAGCTCGACGCCGATTTAACAAACGGACCACCGGGCGACGTATCCAAACAAGACCGTTAGCTCGCCAACGCTGAAGCCAAGCTATACGCAACGGAGCAGGTTAACGAGGCGACAAATCGCACCCAAGCATTGGAATGCATCCACTCGCACGCGGAATCAAACCAATGTTAAGGTGAATCACCGAGTCATCTAAACAAGAGCGAACTCGGATGAATCACGATCAAATCAACATCAATTCCGGACTCAAATTCAGAAGTTGGTTTACTGCCATATCAGGAACCCGACTCACTGCCAAATCTGGAATCAAGTCAAAGAGTCGTTGCCAAGTCAATCAACCACACAAGAGAACCAGAACCGGAAACAAAGGACGAAACGGACAAACACCCGGGGACTCGGCCGAAACCGAACCACCCATGGGTGGCTAGGCTCAGAACTGTGCGCGGGCACAGTTCTGAGTGCCTATAAATAGGCCTTGTGCTCATTTGTTTCAGAGGTTGGAAATTTTGGAGAGAGGCGAAGCCCTGCTGGATTGAAGACTCAGATCTAAAAAAGATCACAACTTTGAAGGCTTGGAGACTTGGACTTTCAGATCCGGTGCTCGGCGATCACCAACGCCAAATAAGGCAGGAGTTCGAGAGGATTGGATTTGAGATCTACACGATCACACTCCGGATCTAAGCTTGGTTCTTAGATCCCGAGATTCGAGCGGTTGTTTCCTTGGTGAAACAATCCCTCCCGGCTATTATTCCCTTGGTGGAATATTACCCGTCATATCGTGTAGATCCGACCGGATCGAGATCACGCGGTGGTCCACGGCAAATAACCCCGGCGCAGGCAAAGAACCCACCAAAGCGAGCGACCGCAAAACAGGAGCTCGCGATTAGTTCGACAAATAAGGAAAATTGTAATCTTTACTTTGTTTTCTTTGATTTTTCATTGTAACCGGATCTTATAAAAAGACCGGATCTTTGTAACGCATAAAGTTGTTAACTGAGATAGCAATGATATCAACAATGAAGAAAGCTACGATTTTTCCCGCGAACAATCTGGCGACCACAGTGGGAGCCAACAGCTTTACTGCCGAAGCTGTCGCGTCGCAGCCGCGGATCCCGATCCCGGTCGAGGAGGAGGTCGAGTACGAATTCGACCAACAAAAGTTCGAGGAGTATCTGTCATCCTCGTCCGAATCCACCTCCCCTCGCAAGTCCAAGTCTCCAAAGCTCTCTTCCAAGAGAAAACTTCGTTGGTACGAAGAAGTTGAAGCTGCCAACGAAGATCTCGCCCCGTTTGATGCCGAAGCTGCATCGGGTGAGATCTCTCCTTCCAACCAGGTCAGATCTGCTCTGGCCGAATCTTCCGTTGCCGAGGGCGTAGTGACTCTCTCAAAGAGAGCCCGCCAAAGGCAACGTCAGCGCCTTGCGAAACAAATCGCAAAGGCAATGGAATCTGTGGACGGGATCCGTTACAACACGGATCTGAAGAACAGAAGAGGCGAACGACCTCAACAACCAATGAATGGCAACTCCTCCAAGCCACCAACGAACGAATGGATCCGTGTCAAACGGAACCGTTCAACGCTGGAGGATCGCATTCAGAAGCGCCGCGCACTCTCAGCACAAGCACGAGCTCAAGTTCAAGAAGCCCGTAGAAGGTGGCAGAATGGAGTAGCCAAGAAATCACCACTAACTCACAAAATATGGAGGCCAAAGTCCAAAGTGGTGAGTCAGGCCGAGGATCGACCTTTACAGCCTTCAAAACGAGTTCAACCTCCCGAACCATCCCGAGGAAGGAGGTCAATCTTGGAGCGCCTCGGTCCAATTCCCGACGAGCGCAACGAAGTCCATGAACGCTCGGGCCCGATGAAGAGGCTCCGAACTAATCAACATGCTGGGGGTCGACACAACCCTCAACATGACAAAGAGTTTACGGCACCCAAGCGCACTACCTTGCGCATCGAAGTTCGGGAGCCCGCTGAGAATTCATGTCTACAAAGGCGTGTTTCGAGGCGAGTGACTCTCGGAAGTCCAAATAAGGCAGTTTGCTCTCAGAAGGAAACGTTGTCATCCGAGGATGATAACGTTATACCTGGGAAATCATGCCAACACGCGATAGGTTACTCCGATCAAATGGACGAGTTGTACTATCGTGCTGGGGGTACGAACAAAACAAGAAAAAGAAGCCCTCAAGGGCTCGAAACTCAGTGCCCATGTGCCAAGCTCATTCGGGTAGTACTGTCTCAATGCAACTGCATCAAGGGAGTCCCCGAGAGAATTTCAGTGTTCGAAAGGCTCGGCACCGAAACGCCAAAACCAAGGCATAGGCGCTTCCGGCAAAGAAGAACAGTGGTTAAGGATGGAGAATTTCCGAAGGTCACCGCCAACATGACCAGCAAAGAGACATCGACACAGATTGATCTCAAATCGTTTCTGGAAGCGTCCCGGCGTGTAACCCGTCTGCAGTCCGGAGCCATCGCACGAGGAACTTATGGTAGGGTTCGGATAAGATTGCCTTCGGAAGATGAAGAATCGGATTCCTGCTCTGCTGTCGCATCGGACAATACAGTGTCCAGCGAAGGACAACCCCGCGAGTCATTCATGATAGGCGCGGAAGAAATGGCCAAAATGCTTGAAGACGCTTTGGCTAAGCAGAAAGAAAGTTTTAAATTCGAGATGGAGACGGCCATGCAGCAGATGAGAGAGATGCATGAACAGCAAATCCAAGCATTCAGGAACCAACAAGGTGAACCAAGCCACCGTAACCAGGTTGCTCAGGAAAAGGAGCACGCGGATGGGGATGAAGCTCACAATGCCAATAACCCTCCCATCAATGCAGGGGGTGGTAGTGAGGATGCCAACGGGGATACAAGTGAAGACTTGAAGATCAAAAGCCTCGAGAGTAAAATCAATACGTTGCTGTCTGCTCAAGAGGTAAAGAAAACGGGCATTCCTTGTCCATACCCGAGGGAATGGGAATCAATCCCCTATCCGGCGAAGTTTAGTCTAATCAACTTCACGCCGTTCGATGGAAGGGGTTCCCCCACCCAGCATTTGATTTATTTCAAATCGCACCTGGGTGCTATCTCTGGGAACGAGCCTCTGATGGTGCGGTCATTCGTCGGCACTCTTCGCGGAGCTGCCTTCGATTGGTATCGTCGCCTCAAGCCAGGAAGCGTGAACAGCTGGGATGACATGGAGACGAAGTTCCTTGCAAATTTCTTCGACGACGACACCGAGATCTCTATCGGATCGTTGCTCGACGAGAAACAAAAAGACGGGGAGTTAGTCGACACCTTCGTCAAAAGGTTCCGGAACAAGGCGATGAATTGCCGGGACCCGATCACCGAGGAATTCATTCTCCAGACTTGCCACAACAACCTCGCATTGGACGTATTGGAGGCAATGGGGACAGCACCGTCTGACACTTGGAAGGATCTGAAGGTGCGCGGTGAACAAGCCGAACGCTTCCTTAAAAGGAAGAAGGCCGAAAGGAACCAACCGACGGTTAATCTGCTGGACTCAAACTTCGCTTCCCGTGGTAAGGGCAAAGCACCTGCAGCTGCTGGTGGTGCTAATCAAGCGTCACAACAGCAATCCCGAAGGCAGCAGAAGACTTCGGGTCCGAGACTCCAGAGAGAGTATTCCTTCAAGGACGAAGACGTTCCAACCATCTTCGAATCGCTCCTCGAAGGCAACAAGATCAAGCTACCACCTATCACGAATCAGGAGGAAGCTGATAACACTACGGACCCAAAGTACTGTGCATACCACAGAAGGGTTGTTCATCCCACCAAGGATTGCTTTGCTCTCAGGAATAGCATTCAGACCTTGGTCGAAGCCGGCGTTATAACGCTAAGGTAAGCCAAATAAAAACGGCAAAACTCCGACCGGTATAAGAGTATAAACTGCTTCCTGACACTCCAAAGAGTATACGAGTATAAACTGTTTCTCAACACTCCGAAAAGTATACGAGTATAAACTGCTTCTTAATACTCCAATAGGTATATGAGTCTAAACTGTTTCCCCACTTTTGACGGGAAGTTCCTGGAGAATATTAAGCTAATATTCTTAAGGATAACCCGGTTAGTTAACTGATAATAATGTCCGAACCAGTTCCGCAGAGGAAACTGGGGGTGGACGATTTATGTAACGGGAAGTTCCCAAAACCACAGCAATGTAATGAATAAGGACTCCCATTCAAGTTCTCACTGTGTCTGTGCACTCAACACTCTCTCTGTTAGAGTCTGGACGTAAAGTTCCTGATTGGTCAAACCTTCTTACAGTTAGGACCACAGTCAAAATCCCCTCTCGATTCTCCCAATGAACGAGAGGTCCACAAATCAAGCGATCAAACCTTCCTACAGTTAGGATCGTCTTAAACCTTCCATTCGGTCAAACCTTTCTACAGTTAGGACCA